CCCCCCCCTCCCTGCCACCCCCACCTTGTCCCCCCATCCTTGCCATCCCCATCCCTGCCAACTCCTTCTGCCACCCCATCCCTGCCACCCCTGTCCTATCCACCCCATCCTTACCATCCCCATCTTCTCACCCCATCCTTGCCACTCCATCCCTGCCACCCCCATCCCTGCCACCCTCATCTTTATCACCCCATCCCTGCCACCCCCATCCGTGTTCCTGCCATCCTTCTGCCACCCCATCCCTGCCACCCCTGTCCTATCCACCCCATCCCCACCACCCCCATCTTCTCACCCCATCCCTGTCACCACCATCCCTGCCACCCCCATCCCTGCCGCCCCCTCCTTGTCCCCACCGCCCCGTGCAGCCGGAGGAAGGTGGCCACGTCCTGCTCCCGTCCCTGGGCGCCAGGGTCCCTGTGGCGGGTGCGGAGCCAGCGCCGGCGCCGGTGCGTGTGGTAGGTCTTCTCGGTGGCGTGCCACGATGGCGGGGGGCTACCGGTGGCCACACTCACCCCGTACTGCCAACCTGGGGCACCAAGGTGTCCTCCTCACCACCGCTGCCACCAACCCATGGGGTGGCCGGTGGGGACACCCACTCACCAGCCTCATCCACGGCCCCCGCCACGTCCACCCGCCAGCCATCGGTGACGTGCCAACCCTGGGGACATGCCACCTCCTCCTTGGGTGGCACCGCCGCGCCGCTCTGCAAAACGGGGTGAAAACGGAGCTCTGATCATAGAATCATAGAATCACAGAATGGTTTGGGTTGGAAGGGACCTCAAAGATCATCAAGTTCCAACCCCCCTGCCCTGGGCAGGGACACCTCCCACCAGAGCAGGTTGCTCAAGGCCCCATCCAGCCTGGCCTTGAACCCCTCCAGGGATGGGGCAGCCACAGCTTCTCTGGGCAACCTGTTCCAGTGTCTCAGTCTCTCAGTGTCTCTGATGTATTTGTGTCACACACACCCCCCACAAGGTGTCCCCCAGGTTGTCACCCACTTACAGCATCAGTGGTGGCCACGGTGGCTGGTTGCCACTGGCCACCGAGTGGCCGGCTCTCATTCTCATAGACCTCCTCCAGCACCTCGCTCACGTTGGTCTCCGTGTCCAGCAGCAGCCTTGGGGACAAGGTGACCATGCTGGTGTCACCCCTCCTCAATGAGTGTCCCCCCCAAGGTGGCAGGGTGGGTGTCACCCACCCCGGAGGACTCACCTCCGCTGGGGCTCCACGGTCCAGGCTCCGTCCCAGCGCCAGCCCTTGGGGGGACGGATTCGGTGCCGGGGGACCCCCACTTTGCCGGCGCTGTCGGAGAAGCTGGGGCACCCCAGAAGCCCCCGGGGACCCCACTTGCCCAGTAGCTTGGTCTGGTTTTCATACTGGGAGGGGACACACGGGGTTGAGGGGGGCTGGGGGGGGTGAGGGCACCCTGGGGTGGTCCCCCCTCCCCACCCCAGGGCTCACCGTCTCGGCGTAGACGCGCAGGGTGCCCTCCAGGAGCCGTGGCAAGTCCCCGCTGTGGGCCACTAGTCCCAGCCACAGCCGCAGCCGGAGCTGGGCATGGATGTCCCCGGAGCCCTGTGACCCACACGGGGGGGACATGGAGGGGACATGGGGAGGGGACATGGAGATGTGGAGAAGGTCCAAGAGGGACATAGAAGGAACACAAAGGGGACATGGAGGGGGTACGGGGGGACATAGAGGGGAGATGTGGAGGAGACATGGGAAGAGGACATGGAGCAGGCGTGGAGAAGGTCTAGGGGGGACAGAGGGGACAGAGGAGACATGGAAGGGATGGGGAGGGGACATGGAGCAGACATGGAGAAGGTCCAAGAGGGACATAGAAGGGACACGGGGACATAGAAGGGATGTGGAGGGGACACAAAAGGGACATGGATGGAATGTGGAGGGGACATGGGGGATGTGGAGGGGACATGGGGAGGGGACATGGAGCAGACATGGAGAAGGTCTAGGGGGGACACAGGGGACATGAAAGGGATGTGGAGGGGACGTAGAAGGGACATGGAGAGGGTACGGGGGGGACACAGAGGGGAGATGTGGAGGGGACATGGGGAGGGGACATGGAGCAGATGTGGAGAAGGTCTAGGGGGGACATAGAGAGGACAGAGGGGACATGGAAGGGATGGGGAGGGGACATGGAGCAGACATGGAGAAGGTCTAGGGGAGACACAGGGGACATGAAAGGGATGTGGAGGGGACGTAGAAGGGACATGGAGAGGGTACGGGGGGGACACAGAGGGGAGATGTGGAGGGGACATGGGGAGAGGACATGGAGCAGACATGGAGAAGGTCCAAGA